CCTCCTTCCTGCCGGGGCTTTGTCCCCACACAAACTTCACCTTAGGGTCCCCCACAGCACACACCCGGGCAGGGCCCTCAGGCACTTCGGGAGCCTGTGGGCACAGGCCTTCCTCCTCTGTCCTGCATTCAGTGTCTGTCCTGCTGGCCCTGCCCCACAGCGGTGGGGGGGAGGCAGGAGTCCCTCAGCCCCGCACCCCGCTCCCTTTTCCCTGCAATGGGAAGGTGACCCCCTCCCCCCATGGCCCCGCTGCAGGTCCCACCTGGAGGGAGGCGCACAGGGGGTCTGGGGTAGAGCCGTGCAGGTGTGGGGGTGGACGCACGTGTGTGGCGTGTGGTGTGTGTGGCGTGCCCACTCTCTGTGAGGTGTGTGCCGAGTGGGGGGTGGGCAGTGTGTGGGTGCTGTGGGTGTGCGGGGTTGGGGACATGGCACCAAGGGAACAGCCAGGGCTGGCACCCTGTGGGCCCCACCCTGGAGTTCCCCAGGATCCTCTTCCCAGACCCGCACCGTGGGTCCCTCCCTGGGTGGGTCCTGTCGGCAGCAGCTCGAGACGTGGCGGGGGTGGGGGGCACCTGTGATTCCGCAGGCCACAGGACATGGGGCTGGGGTGAGTGGGGTGGGGTGACTGCAGTCCCCCTGGAGCAAGGGCACCTGGGGCAGGGAGCCCCCCCTTCCCCGCCTGTCCACAGGGAGAGGCCCCAAGGATGAGGACAGAAGTCTTCCAGGAAGGGAGAACAATTACTGGAAAAGAAAACAGATTCCAACCCCCAGTCATGGGGTCCTGCTCACCCCCAGCTCCCTCCCCCCGGGCCCTCCCCTTCCTGAGGGGTTGCCCAGCACTTCTGAGAGTGCAGGGGCGGCCAGGGGAGGTCGGGGGTGGCTGCTGAAAACCCTGCTGTCCCCCCCCCCTGTGACCAGACCTCGGTCACTGAGGACCTCCACACACTGGGGAAGGGAGAGTGCCGCAGGGACTCCACTGTGACACAGCAGGGGGACCCTGCCACGACGGGGGAGGGAACAGGGTGCTCCCAGGTCCGGGACCCCAGGGGCTGCAGTGAGAGCTGTGTCCATGTCCTTGACCATGACCTCTGTGAGGGCGTCACACCCAGAGGCAAACTGCTCTGGGGAGAAATATAACTGAGGCCCCAACCTGCACCCTGGCCGGTGTGGCTCGGTGGAGTGAGCACCGTCCTGTGCATCAAGGTGTTGCCTGTTGGACTCCCAGTCAGGGCACACGCCTGGGTGGTGGGTCAGGTCCCCAGTACCGGGTGCCAGAGGGTCTACCACACAGGATGTTTCTCTCTGTTCCTTTCCCGGTCCCTTCCCCTCTGTCTAAAAAGAAGGAAAGAATAAAAGATCTCCTGCCAACCCAGAAAACCTCTCCACTCGCCCACTGTGTTATTGAGTCAGCACTAAAGCAGCTGAGGGCCTCCCAGGCCAGGGCCCAGGAGGTCTCCATGATGGGCAGCCACCAGGGGGCCACCTGCAGCACCCTGGGGCCCCCGCAGAACTCCACCAGCCTCCAGGGCGGGGCCCTGGCAGCGCCACTGGACACAAGCAGTGCCCAGGGAACCCACCTGTAGAAAAGGCTGAAATGTGTCCCACAGGGTCAGAGAGGAACCTCACAGTGACAGCCTTTCTGAAGGGGGGAGGGAGGGGGGAGGGATGTTCCTCCCTGCACTCACTCTCTCTCTCTCAGTCACTCAGTCACTCACTCTCTCTCTCTCAGTCACTCAGTCACTCACTCTCTCTCTCTCCCTCGGTCACTCACTCATTCACTCTCTCTCAGTCACTCACTCACTCTCACTCTCTCAGTCACTCATTCAGTCTCTCTCACACTCACTCACTCGCTCACTCTCTCTCACTCAGCCACTCACTCACTCTCACTCTCTCTCACACCCACTCACTCCCTCAGCAAAGGTGTGCTCCCCACCCAGGACTCCTGTCCCAGCTCACCTGGCCTGTCTCTGCCCCCTCTGCCTTGCCCCATCTGAGTGCCCGGCCTGCATGTCCATCCAGAAGACGTCCCCCACCCCTGCCCACGCTGGCTTTTTGCCTGAGACACCCCACAGCTCACAGACACCTGGAATTTGACCAGTGTCTGTCAGTGTGCAGCTGGCCCCTGGTTGTGGCCCCACCTGGGCCTGAGGGTGGTTAAGGCCGCAGGTGGTTCCCCTGATGGATGCAGGGGCTCCTGAGGGAGGGGAAGAGCCTGACAGGCACGCGGGGGCAGCCTGTCTCCCGGCTGCCCCTCACGCTCCTGTGCACGCGTGTGCAGGCCCACTCGTGTGACACATCCCCTCAGCTCAGGGGCAGCTTGGAGAACACAGGAGGGTCCTAGGGGCGGGTGTCTGTCGCAGACCCCCACATGGGGCTGTGGAGACCCATGGGGCCACCCCCCACTCCTCACAGGGGAGAGGGCCCGGGTGGGGGTGGTCAGATCCTCCCTCCATGGCCCAGACCACTCGTGCATCAGCATGCAACTCCCCTCTGCCACTTGGGGCTGTTCCTGCAGTGCAAGCCCTTCCAGTCGCGGCAGGGAGCCCTAAGAAGTCAGTCCGGGGATCAAAGTCCTGGACTGGGGGCTCCTGTGCTGCTTTCAGGACCGTGGACAGTGAGATCGGCTCCGTGGCTCCCGATTCGTCTTTAAATACAGGAGAGAGTGGGGATGAGGTGCCCGGGGTAGGGTAGAAAAATACGGAGTAACAGCCCTGGCTGGTGTGGCTCAGTGAACTGGGCGCTGGCCTACCCACCGAAGAGTTGCTGGTTCGATTCCCAGTCAGGGCACAGGCCTTAGCTGTGTGCTGGGTCCCCAGTAGAGGGCACCCAAGAGGCAACCACAAGCTCATGTTTCTCTCCCTCTCTCTCTCCCCCTTCCGCTTTTCCTAAAAATAAAGAAATGCCGTGTTCAAAAACTAAAACAGAAAAATACCGAGTAACAATTTACATATGTTGTTCATACTAAAAAAATTCATTTCTTACAGGGTTTTTCCTCTGACCCAGCCCGGCCCCACCCACAGCCTGAGCCCCACCCACCCTTCAGGCAGAACTGAGTCCAGAGGCCCAGACGGAGGCAGGATCGGGCGTGGGGGTCTCAGGGGGACTCCCCAGCATTGCCAGACCCTTAAGGGCACGGGGCAGGCGGCACATTAAACGTTGTTACCACAAAGCCCTTGTAAAACTTCCATCATCCCTTCCCCTACAGGGGGATTTACAACACCTCCCCCCCCCCGCCCCTTCCCGCCAGTGCTGAGAGGAAGGATGCCTGCCCAGATCCCCGGGTCCCTGGCCACGCCACCCCGCTGCTCTGAAGCCCCAAGTTCACCCCGCCCCACCCCTGGCTTCTGCCCTCCCTTCCTGCAGGGGCTGGGCCTTGCTTTGCAGCCAGAGGGCTCTACCCTCTTCAGGGCCCCCCTTTATCTCCGTGGGTCTCCCCGCCAGTATGTTCCCTGCACCTCGGACCGTCCTTTACTGTCAGCCGGGCCCGGGGGAGAGGATGGACTGAGTGTCCGGGACTTTGGGAGCAGCCTCGCCCACTGTCTACCGCCTCTGCCTCCCCGCGGACCAGCCAGGGCCACTCAGCCTGCAGCAGGGTGCTACTCGCACCTTGGCCTCCAGAGGGCGCGCGAAGGCCGCGGGAAGGGGACTAGCACCAAGGACAAGGGCACAGGCTCCGCCCTCAGGAGGGAGCTGGGAGGGTTCACGGCGAGGCCTCCAGGGCCAGGGAAAGCAAGGGGAGAGCTGAGACCCTGGGGACGGGTGGGATCGGCAAGACCACTGCCTGCCAAGACGCGGGGATGCGGGGCTGTGAGTAGGAGCTGGGTGTCTCCCAAGCATCACCTGACACCTCCCATCCCCCAAGGGACGCTATTTCAGGGAGCCCCGCCCTGTGTCCCCAACTGTTACCCCCCAGAGCAGGCCTCCCGGTCGCCACCTGCCATTCCCAGATCGCTCTTAACCAGGAGAAACGCACAAGGGAGGTCTCTGCGCTCCAGTCCCGTCACGTCCCACCAGGTCAACCCCTCATCTAGGGAAGGGGTCTGTGCTGTCTGGAGACCCCAGCGGATGGGAGCCTGCGGTCCGCTCCTCCCAGAGAGCCGTCCGGGGAGTGCGGGGTTCCGAGCCGTCCTCCCCTGGCTGAGCATCCCAGGCCCCCTCCACCCGCCGGCCACAGGCAGCTGCGGGGAGGCCTGGCCTGTGCGCACAGGCCAGTGAAGGAGCTGGGGCACCGTCCCCCCAAGGCCGAGCCCCTGCACACTGGCGCTGTGGCTCGGGGTCCCCACAGCACCGACCCTCTCGCCAGGCGTATCCCCACTCAGATGCAGTCGCCCAGCTGTTTGCTGATCACCAAGTACCGGCCAGGCAGGGTCTGAAGCTGGGGAAATGCCCGGGGCTCCATGGCAGGAGGAGGAGGGGGGCTTCCCCAGGGGGGCACCCAGCAGAGAGGGGAGGGCACAGGCCCCGGGGGCTGGAAGGGGACTCCCTGTTGCTGGACTGGGCGCCCCGGGGTGAGTGTGGGTTCCAGGAGGGGCCTGAGGCCCCTGTGTGTGGGGCAGGGGCTGGGGGCTCCCAGCAGCACTTGGGACAGTGTCTGAGTGAGGGAGGCGGGGCCAGCCTGAGAGGAGGGTGCTGAGGCTTTCAGAGGGAGAACTGGGCCCAGGAAGGTTAGGCAGGGAGTTCAAGGTCACACGGTGGGCACGACCTCACCAGCTCCTCAGACTGCTCCCCTGCTCACTGAGCTGCCCCCATGGCCACCCCCCCCAGATAGAGCTCACACCAGCAGCAGGTCCAGGGTCCCTGCCCAACCAAGAGACACAGGCAAGGGAGAGAAGTTTAGGGGCCAAGGGGTCATTCCAGGACCTCCTGGACCAACCTGGACAGCATGGGGACCCAGGAGCTGGCCACTTGTGGAGGGCAGTAGGTGCTGACACCAGGCAGAGCCATGGTGGGGCTGAGGGCACGGGGGTTGGCACAAGGGAGGGCTGGGCCCTTTGCAGGCTGGCGGACACCTGCTCCTAGGAAGTGTGCATGTTCGGGGACAGTTAGCCAGGACCATGGCCACCTCCACCCACAGGGCCCGGGGCTGTGGGACAAAGTGGGGGCAGGACAGAGCAAAAAGCATTCCCTGTGCAGGGACAGCCAGCAGAAAAGGGGCAGTTCCTTCTCACAGCCAAAGCACGTGGTGAGTGCAGAGCTTCCCTGGGGCGGGGCTAGAGGAGAGGAGGGATCACCTCCCAGAGGCTGGCCTCAGAGACCCAGGGTGGGTTGGGTGGTGTCTGTGGCCCTCCCACTGCCCAGCCCCTCCTCCCTGGGGACACCCTGTGGCCCCCACAGAGCCATGCCTTCAGCTCCAGGGAGAACACCCTCGAAGCTCTCCCCGGCCCCCTGTCCCCGGTTTCTGTCATTCAGGGTCACAGAAGACCACACTGGGAGCTGACCTGGACCCCGACCTCTGAAGACACACTCACACACACACTCACTCACACACACTTGCCTAGGCAGGGCCCTCACAAGGCACCTAATGTGCTCCGAGACGGGCTCACAGGATGGCCAGAGGGTTGGCCTTCTCACCCAGGCCCATCCTAGCACCCCACCTGCCTGCCTCAGCCCACCCCCTCCCCTTGTGTCCCCTCCCCTCACCACCCTGTCACTCTCACTGTGGCACAGCCAACACACAGGAGGACTGAGGGAAAAGCTGAGGTGTGACAGCTCCCAGCAGGTCCCGTGCTGTGAGTGTGAGGGCTGAGTCCCTGGGCACAGGCATGTGACCAGACTCACAGACCCATGCAGGGGGCTCTAGGGGAGGAGGGCACCACCGTGGACTCAAGGAGGGGAGGGGCCCTGACCACAGGCTCAGCTGCCCTGACCTTGCTGGTCCTGGCCTCCAGACCAGAAAAGAATGTGTCTGTGAGTTATGAAATACACTTGTCAATCTAAACAATGCCAATTTCTTTTCTTTGTCACCAAAAGTGGGAAATTCTCATTAACTTGGGAAACAATACATGCTATTTGTAATAAAAGGGGTCAATTATGGTGTACAAGTGAAAAAGCCAAAAGCTCCCTTTGATTTTCCAAAACCAACTGTAATTGGCCAACAGAAACCACAGGCACATTTGCACAGTGGAGGAAAATTAGTTGTTTCTTGCTCTGATATACAAGAAACAATTTTCTTTGTCATGCTGATTGTTGATTTGAAATGTTGTTACAGAAAAAGCAAATTCCTTTCTCTATTGCTCTGTAATCAGGTCGATAAGTGTCTCATTTTAAGGTGAGTTTGTTTTATTTTGTTGTGGTTTTTTTGAATATTTAGGGACAGTCATTGTTTCACTCTGATGCATTTGAAAAAAAATGTTATATCTTCAGAAAGGTCTGTGGAAAGGACTCTGACTTCTTCTAAAATATGGCTTTCTGAGAATAAATATTCAGATTATTTCCTTGAAAGATGTTGGTGTTTGTGGGGCTCTGGAGAAAGACTGAATTAATAGAGATACTGGCAAATAATCAGGGTAAACAGGAATCGATAGTGGGACTGAATGAACTGGGGATAATTACTGTTGTGGCTTTGTTCAACATATTGCTGAGTTTTGCAGTGGTTTTCATCCAGTCATCTGGTAAATTCTAGCAATGTTGAAGCAGTTACATTTCTCTCCCTGCTGCATCCCTCCAGAATTTGGAAACTGATCATGAGAGAGTAGTAGTACTTTCATGGCAGTAGGTTTTTTTCATGAATTGAATAGGAGTTTGATTTTCTTCATTTCCAGTTGTGGACTTGTTCAGCAAGATTTTGACTGCAATGTCATGTCTCTCTCAGACTCGGGATGCTAACAAAATCCTTTAAAGATGAAAGACTGGAGGTGATAAAAGCCCCTTGGAGACACAGCCTGGTACCGTGCTGATTCACATGGTTCATGGCAGCCTTTCAGGTAAGGGGCAAAGGCTGCTTTCCTGGGAGGTGGCAGGGAAGACCCTCAAAACACTTTGGGGACCTGGAGAACTTCAGGAACTGACCCATAACAGCAGGTACTGCAGGCAAAGCCTGGTGGCAATGGAGTGGCTTGGCCTCTCTGCCCAGTGGGGCTAACTCAAGTTCAGTCTGAAAATTCCTGGTAACAAACGTTGCTGCAAAGTAGACTCAATGAAGCCCACATGACCACTTGCTGTTCCTGTTGTGCTCATGCAAATAATCAGGCCCATTGAAAGTGGACTTTCCTGCAGAAAATGAGGTGGTCTTCATTAGTCTCTTTGGTGAAAGTGAGGGTGATTTAGTAGAAAAACTGTGTTTAAACAAAATCTATGGTGCACAGTTATAGGAGACTGTTCTGCCTGGCGTGGGCCCAGCTCCCACTGGGAGATGCACCAGACCCACACCCATGGATAGGTTCTCCCATGGAAAATCAGGCCTGCACTGTACCTAGACTGCTATGAGACTTGCTTTTGCTAAAACTCCCTCACCCTGAATTGAGGCACCGAACATTTACTGCAAAGCAACTCCCTAAAACCCAAGCTAAACCTTCCAAGAACCAGTGTAACCTGTTGATCCACTTTTGCCTTTTCATTTGCAAATATCCCCTTTCTGTGATGTGATTAGCAGCATCCTCTCCTTTGTTTTGTGTAAAAGGGAACCACCTAAAGTGAGCCAGTGCATAGTAAATGAGGTCCTTCCTGCAATGTGCCCAGAAAGAATAAAAGCTCATCAAAGCAAGGGCTGAGGCTTGGGGCTCCTCTTGAGAGAAAAGCCGCCCACCCTTTTTCTCCACAGGACTCGGCAGTCCCTGTGAAATTCTTTTGTCTCAGCTACAATGCCATGGACCCCCTCAGCCGAGTTCCGAGACACACAGATATGGACATGAGACTCGAATCTTGTGACTTGACTGTAAAACATTTTTTTTCCCTTAAGAATGAGATTCAATGTTCATTCTCCTAACTTTTGGAAATATTTGGGCTACAACATCTAACTTTCACAGAAAAGGAAGGAGAATTGACAGTGGGGGTTTGAAACAGTGAAGGTTGTCATGCTGGGAAGTTGTAACCCGCCCCACCATTCTTCTGACATTGTAGCTGTGAGTGCCAGCTCTCACCACTGTGCAGCTTGTACATGCACGGCCTGTTAGCATAACAATCTGAGGAACTAATGGCTCAAAAGGCATCAACTCTGATCTTGAAGCACTTCGGCTCCAGGAGATTTGCTAACCTTCCCCCATGGAGGCCGGGGTGACACACTCCAGATCATTACATGCCTTCTCAGAATGCACTGTGCTCACCTGCCTGTGGAGAAGTTTTCAACCCCTCCCTTCATTTCTTCCTTCTGTTCCCTGCGTCCTCCTTATAAAACTGCTGCCCCCATGAGAGGTGGGGATGGGCTCTGAGATGTGAGTCTCCCACCTTCCAGGTGGCCAGCACCTGCAACTAAACCACTTCCTTCACATCAGCACCTTCCTCTGGAGAACCGGCTCTCATGGTGGCGGGCCTCTGGATCTGCTTCGGGTTCTGCTTTGTGGCGACTCCAGACGGGACCGTGTGTACTCCCAGGAAGACCCCGAGGGCCTTGCCGACACACGTAAAGAAGTACACATCAGCACGTCTGTTAACAAGCAATCGGGAATAATTCCTGATCTGTTCCCAGGGAGGGGAGCCGGCCTCACTGAGGTGGGGGCAGTGAGGGGCACACATTCAGGGCAAAGCAGGGTGGCACAAGGAAGGGCCGCTGAAGGCCAGCGTGCTCAGCCCCCGGGGGGCCAGAGGCCAGAGAGCCAAGGGGCCCAAAGCTGCGAGCCCTTTGCCCTGAGGATGTGTAGAGTGGGTGGGGTGGGAGTTAAAGGGGTTCATGTTGGGTGGCAGGTAGACAGGGTGCCAGCTTTCCCTGAGCCAGGGGGGATGTGATGATCAAGCTTATGTGCAGGTGGGGGGTCTGTCAGCCCGGATCCTCATCTTGTCCAGACTCTGTGTGTTCACCTTGTTGTAAAACAGGCCTGTGACAGGAGGCAGTTAATCAGAGTTGGGGCAGCTACCCGGAGTTGCTTCTGGGCTCTGTCTTTAGGCGGGAGGGACTCCCTCCCAGAGCAGACAGTGAGCAGAGGTGGGCAGGTAACCACACCTGCTTCATGGGCCTCTTCCTCTGGGCACGATGGGCCCTGTCCTGCCCTCCAGGCCTGGGGACAGAGCACTTTCAAAGGTTTCCTCCCCAGATAAGGGGGACGATGCCCAGAGGTTCCAGGCTCCCTCCCCCAGGCTGAGCTCGTGTTTCTGGTGAGGCTGGAGCACCTGTCAGCCCCAGGGCACCAGGCTCTGGACGGCGGAGTCAGAGGGAGGGACAGGTCTCCCCCGCTCCCTCCCTGGGTTCACTGTTCGCCCCCCTCGGTGCTGGAAGGCTTTC